TTTAACTTCAAAAACTCAGTGGCTTACCAAATCTATTTAACAGGTTTCTACATAGAATCTATTACTTCAGAAGAGCGATTTCCACCCTTCCTTTGGGCTGTCATTTTTCAGTTTTTACCTGTTGGGAATAAACATGAAGCAGGTTTATTTACAACTATCTGAATGCATGGACTTATTTCTTAGTGCACAGTCACTGGGAGATTTTTTTCATTCGTATCAAATTGCTGCTGCTAAGTCACTTCAGTCGTGCCCGACTGTGTGACCCCATAGACAGCAGCCCACCAGGCTCCTCTGTCCCTGGGATTCTCCAGGCAAGAATACTGGAGTGGGTTGCCATTTCCTTCTCCATGCATGGTATATCTTTTTTTCATCTTTTTACTTTTAACTTTCTTGTGTCTTCAAACCTAAAGTATGCATCCTATAAGTAGCATATAGAACTTTTTTTAAAATCCAGTTTATCAGTCTCTGTCTGCCTTTATCAGTTTCTTCATATTCAGTGCTGTTAATATGGTTGGATTTACATCTTCCATTGTACTTTTAAATTATATTTTCTTGGATTATTTTCTTAGTGGTTGCTCTTGGGTTTATAATATTCATCTTAATTCATAGAATCTGCTTAACCTCCAGTAAGATATAAAAAGTTCATGGCATTTATTTTATTTCTTTCCTCCCCACTTTTGTGTTATTACTATTATAGATATTTTGTCTCTATATAATAGTACAAGCCCCAAAATAGTTTAAATTATTGCTCTATATAATCTTACATATTTTAAAGAAACTAAGAGAAAGTGAAAGTGAAAAGCGAAAGTGAAGTCGCTCAGTCGTGTTTGGCTCTTTGTGACCCTGTGGACTGTAGCCTACCAGGCTCCTCTGTTCATGGGATTCTCCAGGCAAGAATACTGAGTGGGTTACCATTTCCTTCTCCAGGGGATCTTCCCAACCCAGGGATCGAACCCGGGTCTCCCACATTGGAGGCAGATGCTTTTAACCTCTGAGCCACCAGGGAAGCCCCAAACTAAAGAGAAGACACCCACAAACTAAACTAAGAGAAGACGCACACAAATATATTTATAGAGTGTGTTTTTCTGTTTACCATTTTTGTTTCTGTTCATTTCTTCAGTTACCATCTGATGTTATTTCCTTACTCTAGAATAGCTTTTTCCCCATTCTCTTTCATTGTGTTGTCATTGTTACATATATTACATTTCTATATGTTATAGTCCCAACAGTACAATTTATGGACATTGTTTTAGGTAATTGTTTTTTAAATTAACAAAGTGAGAAAGAAATATCTGTGTTTTTCTTAAAAGGTAAGACTCACTTTATGGATGGCTCTGAAAGCTCTGCAGTGTCACTGCAGTCTCCATCTTTCACATTCCATATTCATTCCTGCCAGTGCTTGCCTTCCACATTGCAATGGTCCACAGCTGCCTCTGTGAATGGCCTTGTGCCATTTTGAAACATCAGTGATGTAAAAATGTGATGAGTCCTTAATGAGCTTCAGTCCCCAGAGTTTTCTTTTGCTGTTTTTAGTTCAGTTCCTATGTATAGAGTGATAAACTGTGCCCTGGAACAGAGAAACTCGACTGAGAAAAGGAGATTTTGACCTGGTGGAAAATCTGGATATGTTCATTATCCACAAACAATGGATTTTATTGGTTAAAAAAAAAAGTACTGTCTTTATAATTTCCTACAGAACTGTCTTTGTCAGAGCTCTTTCTGTGTGTTTTTAAATTGGTCTATATGTGTGTTTTTAAAAATTTCAGCTTTATTGAGGTGTAAGTGATCGGAGTTCTTTGTTTTTATATGTGCATTGCAGTGGTTGTCTAGTGTCACTTGATTTTAGCTTAAGGAATTTCTTTTTGTAGTTCTTGTTAGTCAGATTTGGAGAAACAAAGTATCTGTTTTTTGAGGTCTGAGAATATTGTTGTTATTTTCTCTTTATTTCTGCAGTATAGTTTTTTCTGAATGTAGGATTCTTGTTCTTTGAGCATTTTGAATGTTATTTTACTGCTTTCTGTCTCCCATTTTATTTCTAATAAGACCTCAGGTTTCCCTGTGTATGATAGTCTTTTCCCCCATTTTACTTTCAAGAGTTTCTTATTTTTGCCTTTCATTAATTTGAATATGGTTCTGTTTGTGTTTATCCTGTATGTAGTTTGCAGAGCTTTTTGGATGAGTTGGTTATTGTTTTTCATCAAATTTGGGAAGTTTTCAGCTATTATTTCTTCAGATACAGTGTATGTCCCTTTCTCTTCTCTCATAATTTTCTCCTTAACCATTTGTTAATGCAGTTAATGGTGTTGCATATTTCTCTGAAACTGTTCTTTAGGTGGTATTATTGAAAACATCTGTTTTTTTAGATTGTATAATCTGTTGATCTGTTTTTAAAGTTATTGATTCTTTCCCTACTGCCAAGTCAAATCTACTGTTTAGTGCTTTTAGTGAGTTTTAAACTCGAGAATTCCATTGGTTATTGGTCTTTGTTGCCTAGGTCCAACATCTTGACTCCCCTTAAAGGCAGGTACCAGTGCCTGCTCTTTTTCCCCTGTGACTGAGTCATACTTTTTCTTTTCGTGTCTTATAATTTTTTGTTAAAAATTAAGCATGTTAGGTAATGTAGCCACTCTAGAGAATGATTCTTCCTTCTCCCTGTGGAGACAGAACCTCTGCACTAGTGCTTTCTCTGGAGCTGGGGGTGGAGACAGCACCCTGCTTCTGCTGGACAGACACCTGTACTCTGACAGGTCCTGGCAGGAGGGAAGGGTATAAGTAGCTCAGCTTGTCCCTCCTAGCATGTAGCTTCCATTTTGCGAGCAAGCTGATAGAACACTGGGAATCTTGGCCTATTGTTAGGGTTGGGAGTCTGTGAGTAGGAGCTATCAGGATGAATAGTGGTACGAGAGTCACTGGAGACCTGACCCTCCTTGGATAAAACTCTAGTCTTGGGGAGAGAGGGAGCCCTCACCTTCTTGACAGCACTACCCAGAAAGGAACTGCCATCACATGGAGCTATGGGGGTGAGGGTGGTAATGGGGACAGATCCTGGCTCACGTGTCACAGATGCTCACTGTTCTTAATGAGATTTAGTAGATTGTCTTGGATAAAATAGTCTCTTTGCTGCATGCCATTAGGACAGTTTTCAGAGACTTTAAGTTGACATACAGTATTAAATACATACAGATATACAGTATAGTGGCATAATTTTTAGAGGTTATATTCCATTATAGTTATTATAAAATATTAGTTATCATCCCTGTGTTGTAGTGTATATCCTTGTAGCTTATTCTGGATGGCACAATGGTAAAGCATCTGCCTGCCAGTGCAGGAGACGTGAGAGATGTAGATTAGACTCCTGGGTCAGGAAGATGCCTTGGAGTAGGAAATGGCAACCCACTCTATTATTCTTGCCTAGAAAATTCCATGGACAGAGGAGCCTGGTGGGCTACAGTCCATGTGGTTGTAAAGGGTCGGACATGACTGAGCACACACGCACTCGGGAGCAGCTTATTCTATACAGAGACTTCAAGTGATTCTTTTTCACCTATGAAGTATTTAATTCACTGAGGAGAGGATTCCTGGACCTCTTAACTCTGCTATTCCATATATTTGGAAGGCCTAACTCCTTTAAAGTAAAATCCGTCATAATGTTTAGTTTTATTGAATGGTCAAATGATGGTGTCTTTTCATTGCAGTTGTTTTGGAAGTTACTGAGATATTCTTTGAGGTCTGTTTGCATATTGCCCCTGAATATTTTAAAATATTACTGTTTCAACCTGCTTTGTACTTTTCTTTTAGATATTTAATTTATCATTTATAGGCTAAAATATGTATGTTAAATGATTCCATTATAATTGTTTGATACTGCCTTCTGGTAATGTGAACAGTTAGAGATGCTCTTATGATTGTTAGTGTGTTTAGGTTAGTTTTGTTGTAATTTCGGTTTTTCTTTTTTAGACATACAAAGTAATTTTTGTAATTCAGTTCAGTCTCTATCCTTCAGCAGAGAAGTTGAAATTCATTTACCTACTTGTCTAAATATTAGGCTTTTGGAAACTGTGTTCTTGTAAATATTATTGAATGGTGTAATTTGGCACCACAGTGCATTGTGGGAGAAACTTCTCCAAGTTAAGAAATAGATGTGGTCTTATTGATGTTGGCTAGGTTATATCTTATTCAGATTGATTTATTTTTAGAATTGCATCATCTGATTATATGTAGTTAGGCATTAATTTTTTATATACTTACAGTCAGTTGATAGTTTTATTTATTATATACTTGAAGATTGCCATTTTTATAATTTAGCTGTTCATTATCAGCTATTTTCACCTGAGAAAAAGGGCCAGGTAGATGTCAGAGTTGCTGGGAGTGTTCGCTGGCCAGTAGCTCTTGGGGGCTCCTCTGATCTCCTAGAGGCGTTTCCTCCCAGACCTGGTGTGTCAGGTCAGCAGGCTGATGGGTAGCTCATGTGGGAGGGCGTCTTGTGAACAGTTGGAATGACCTAAACTTTGCTCATTCATTAAGGACTGTCCCTCACCCATTGAGTCCCAGCTCCCTTTATCCAACTCCTTTCTGTATGCTCACTTCTAGCAGAAAAGAAAGACAAACCTCATTTTACACTTTTGTTACAGGAATCAGTTAAATAGTGGACAGGAGATTTTAATACCGAGGTGGCGTAAGCTATATTCTTCATCCTGGCCTCAGTGCCTGTAAGGATTCCTCCTGTCTTGTGGGATTTTTGAGTCTAGGAAACTGTGCCTTGTGAAATCCTACGAGGACTATTTATGTCTGTATTGATGTTTTCATATTTGTATTGCTTTGATGTTTTCATATTTGTATTGCTTGTAAAATAGATACAAATAGAAAAAAATAGATTTATATTTTGGAGTAGATTAGTTAGTAAACCTGATTTTGAGCTGTGAAGATAACTATAAAATCCATATCTGTATAAAGCACTTGTAAGGTTTTTCTTTCTTTCTTTTTTTTTTCTTTACCCTAAGACTTGCTACATTTGTGATGAACAAGGAAGAGAAAGCAAAGCAGCCACTGGTGCTTGCATGACATGTAATAAACATGGATGTCGACAGGCTTTCCACGTGACATGGTAAGTATGTTTTTGTCATTTTACAGAACTGAAATTGGGAATACCTTGTAAGTTAAAGACTTAGGTACCCAAATATTACTTAAACTAAATTTTGTTGGTATAGTTTGTATGTTTATGTTTACTTACTGTAGTAAAAATGATTCTAATAATTGAGTGTATTTACCAGAGTGAATTTCCAGTAAGTAACCCTGGTTCTAGTGTCTTATTCAGTTTTATTTTGCCCAAGATATTTCTGTTGTTTACCTACCCTTTGATTTTTTATTAAGATTACAAGAGCTGATGTATATAAACTTTGTGCAGTGCCTGAAATACTAGTAAGGATTTAGTGAATGGTAGTGTTTTTTTCACTGCCTGTATTTCAAGAGGGGAAAAAAAGCTATCACCATCATTCTCTGTATAATAGTGGCTATTCCTTATAGAGTTTCTTAAATTTTTAAATGACCTTCTATTTTTATTTTGTTCATGCTTCCTTTTATTTTTATCCATGTACATATTCATTGCATAATTTTAATAGCAGTTTAAATGAAACATTGTTTTCTGATAATTTCTTTCACAAAAAAATTTTGATGAGATGGTATAAATACAGTCCATAGCAGCATGGAAATGACTACATTATATCCTATCAGATATTGGTATTTAATTAACATTTCACAGATTTTCAGACACTTTGTTTCCAGATTGTTTTGTTAATATGTGCTACTGTAAGGAACATTTTGTGCATTTAACAAACACAAATTTAACTTCCTTAGAATACTAGTTAATGATAATAAGTGTCATGTATTGAGTATTTGGGTTTCCCTGGTGGCTCAGGCGGCAAAGAATTCTGCCTGCAGTGCAGGAGACCTGGGTTTGATCCCTGGATTGGGAAGATACTCTGGAGAAGGAAATGGCAACCCACTCCAGTATTCTGCCTGGAGAATTCCATGGACAATGGAGCCTGGCAGGTACAGTCCATGGGGTCACAAAGAGTTGGGCATGACTGAGTGGCTAATGCACATTGAGTATTTACTATGAAATGAACAGTTCTTTTTTTTTTTCATAAAAATATTTATTTATTTGACTGCGCCTAGTGTTAGTTGCAACATACAGAATCTTTAGTCGTGACCTGGAAACACTTAGTTGTGGCATGTGGGTTCTAGATCTAGTTCTCTAAACAGGGACATAGAGCATAGATTGGTGGTTGCTAAGGGGGGGGAGTAGGGTGGGAGAGGGCAGGATTGACAGTTTGGGACTAGTAGTTGTAGATGCAGACTAATAAATAGGGGATGGATAAACAGCAAGGTCCTACTGTTAGGGCACAGGGAACTGCATTCAGTATCCTGTGATAAACTATAGTGGAAAAGAATATGAAAAAGAGCATGTATGGATATATGTGTGTATAAGTGAGTCACTTTGATGTACAGCAGTAATTAACACAACATTGTAATTCAGCCTCTGCTGCTGCTGCTGCTAAGTCACATCAGTTGTGTCCGACTCTGTGTGACCCCATAGGCAACAGCTGAACAGGCTCCCCTGTCCCTGGGATTCTCCAGGCAAGAACACTGGAGTGTGTTGCCATTTCCTTCTCCAGTGCATGAAAGTGAAAAGTGAAAGTGAAGTCGCTCAGTCATGGCCGACTCTTAAGCGACCCCATGGACTGTAGCCTACCAGGCTCCTCTGTCCATGGGATTCTCCAGGCAAGAGGAGTGGGTTGCCATTGCCTACTCCGGCAATTCAACTCTATCTCAGTAAAAAATAAATTTTAAAAATTTCCTTAGTATTGTTACTTAATTTTCCAAAGATGAAAGACCTTATTTGGCTGTGAGATACATACTAGTACTATAATTTTGGAATGTTGAAAGTGGAAGGTCAAATTGACAATATGGTTATAAACATTAACACTTCATTAAAAAAAATATTATCATAACTTTATGTTTTAATTTCATTTCTTCCCTTGTTTTTGACTAGAAAAACACAGCTTCTGTTTTTCTTACCTATTCTACTATGTTATGACTTGAAGCATTTTACTTATAATAATGTAATCTGCGTTCATGGGTGAATACCATCACTTGTCATGTAAGCCTTTTAGATACCTGGCCTTTTCTAATTGTACCTGTGATACAGATTGGAAAGTCAAATGAAGTGTTAAGTTTGGGGTTGTGAGGATATCTTTCAAGAAATTTAATGTCTATTTGGTGACTTAAAGCATACAAAAATCTGTGTCCTTATTAGAGATGGATAAAAAGTTTTATTTTAAACCATGTATATAGCCTTAAAAATATAGCAATAAAAAGATGGGGTGGAATGTTCTTAGTCTCAACTAGAATAAAGCCTTTTATTTTCCCCTTATCTCTTACGAGATACCTGCGTGCTTGGAATTGAATTTCAAGTTTCACGTCTGTATACCCACATCCACATATACATAAATACACGCACATGAGGTGTTTTACACACACACACACACACGTGTATACTGTGGTTTAAACCTTGTTGATGTCCTTGCTTTTCTTTTCAGTGCTCAGTTTGCCGGACTGCTTTGTGAAGAGGAAGGTAACGGTGCAGATAACGTCCAATATTGTGGCTACTGTAAATACCATTTTAGTAAGCTGGTAAGAATCTGTCTTGAATTTAATTTACAATTATAATAATTAGCTTTGAATTGAGTCTTAAGGCATCCCTTTTTTGGGGGTTGCTTTTGCTCCAGATTGAGTTTTCTTAGTGTGTTTGTTGGGAATTAAAAGCTGTAGTAGTTTTAGAAGATTTTGCTTTGCTTGAGTTCATTTACAAAGGTGACTGTTCTAAAATACACTAGTTTAGAATATATATTAATAGTTAATAGTAAATGTTGGTATACATTTAGTAGAAAATAAAAATGTGTAAAGAACTCTTTATAATTTACCACTGTTTTCAGTTAACTTAATTTTTGACATCTGATTATGTAATTTGTGATTCCCTGTCACTTTGTTTCACATCTTTTTGCTTTATTACTATTACTGGTTTTATTACTTGTTTTCATTTTTATTTGCTTGGAGGATAGTAACACTGAAAACAAGGTTCTTTTGTAGCTTCTTCATTAAAGGTCTTGAGAAAGAAATATTTAAATACAACTTTGGGAATATTTTAGATGTGATTAGTTTTTACTGTCACATAGTAGCATGGATAAGTTAGTACTATTTGATTAATCATTGTATATTTTGTGTCTTTGTTCCTTTGAAGGATCAGTATTTCTTTAATTCCCCGTTGTCTGTTTCTCAGTCTTTAGTTGATACCAGATTTGTATACTGAAAATTGAAGGCTTCTTTGTTTTCCTTTAGTGTCGTCTTATTATTTTTTATTGTTCCTTTTCTTCTGTTGAATAGGGCTGTTTTTTTTTTTTTTTTTTTTTAAAAAGGAACTTTTTTCATGAAATGAGCAGCTTATGACTCCAGTATTCTGGCTCTTGCATGTAAAGTATTGAGAGTGTATATATATTATTTGATATTGAAGATACCAAATAACATACACTTACTGATTTATTTTTTTAATGACTGTCAGAGAATATCAGTCTTCTAGGAGAAATTTTGAGATAGTAAAATTGAAAATTTACTTTAGGATATTAAAAGCATATTGGAATCTTCATTTTCTAAATCAGATGATATAGATGAAATATAGAAATAATGAAAATGGGGTTTGGAATTTGTGCAAATAGAATTTTTTTATTGTTAGTTACTAATGTGCTGTTATCCTGTTTGGTCACTGTGGAAAAGTCTGTTTAATAATTTAATTAGATTGTATGAGCTCTATGTTTGCAAGGAATTTGATCATCTTTTATAGTCATTTTTATCTAGTTTAAACTAATTAGTTATGGTACCACCAAGTTTTAACACCTGAAATAACTCTCACTGTCATACTTTAGTATGAATCTGTATAAGTCTTTTAAACAGAAATGTGTGTTACTTTTAGTATTGCTTTAAAAAATGCATGAATCTAATGCTGACATTTCCTTTTTTTTTTTTTTTTCTCTATATGAACTGCAGAGACAAATTTTTAGAAAATAGTATGCCTTAATACTGAAAGTGTGAGATTAAAAGGCTTCTTACTTTTCCTACTGGCATAAAGTAACTCTTAAAAATTTTTCTTCTGGTCTTGGCATCCTTCAATATGGTATTCTCTACTTTTTGTTGAAATGTCTTTTATATTTTAAAGCAGACATTGAAAACTATAGTTGATCTCTGTAATGAGGTGGTTTTGTAATAAAGTGACAAATAAGCCACTGCTTATTTGAAAATATTGTCTGTTTTCACACATTTTAATAAATGTACAAAAATATGGCATTAATGTTAGATTTAGGCTTACGTTTTCCTTTATAATGAAATAGATAATATATGGATGGTGTCTGAATTGGATTATGTAGTTTGAAATAGCCTTTATTTCCCTTCAGTAGACATTTTAAAATATTTCACACTTGAATTGGTTTTAACCTAACAAGATTTAAAACTTTATATACATATACCTATATGTATATATATTTTCTCTTTTAGAAAAAGAGCAAACGGGGATCTAATAGGTCATATGATCAAAGTTTAAGTGATTCTTCCTCTCACTCTCAGGATAAACATCATGAGAAAGAGAAAAAAGTAAGTGGATTTGTTGTTGCTAAATATGTAGCACATCTACTTAATAGATTTTCTTTTTTAGATAAAATTAAGTTCTTGATAGCTGAATGAAAACATTGAAGTACTGGAAATTTTTGACTGCATATTAAGTCAAAAAGTAGGTTTAAAATAGTATGCCATATTTGTGAATATGGTCGTGCCCATTTCAACTGAAAATTTGAAATATTAAAAACTTGATTGAAGGCTTGAGAGCAGTTTCTTAACATGTGTTACTCTGGTTATCTTTTGAAATCTTTGATTAACTTTAGTAATAAAGTTAATTGCTAGGTTTATTGCTAGATATTATTAACTCATTTCACATGTAAGAAAGAATCTCATCAGGTTTTCCCTGTAATATGGAATGGTTTTGAAGTTCTATATATTCTTGACTGTCCTCCCCCCACCCCAACCCCACTGCCCCGTGGTGCTAATGGTTTATTATCTTTTTAATCATCAAATGTCATACCATTTATTTGATAATATTTTGTCATTTATTTAAAAGACTAAAGCTTGCCAAATACTAATCTGTCGTCTTCTGACTTAACTGTTTCCTGCTTCCATTTTACTTATTGTAAAGGATATGAGTAATTTTTTAGTGAACTAATAGGTATTATAGAATCATTCTTAGAACATATTGCCCACATAGGAAAAGGATACAACTGTGAATTGTTTTCAACGAAGTGAAGAACTTCTTCAGTTAGAAAAAAACAGTTGGTTTCAACTAGTTGGGAACATACTTCTGCAGATGGTGCTGAAAACTAAATCACATAACAATCTCATGTTTGTAAACAGGATTGGGAGTGCAATTAAAATGCTAATGTTATTAAAAACAAATCTGAATTTAGTTAGAATTTCTTTTTTGAAGATAAATATTTTGAAAGCTTAATTTCTTCTTGTTTTGAATTTAATTTTCCAGTTATTAGTGAATAATAATTATGACCTCATATTCTCCTTCAGAATATTTGTTAGGTTTATATATTTTTGGTAGATCTTAGGTAGCAAGTACACATTCATTTTGAGTTCTTTAATGGGGTAGTTTTGTGATAATGACAGGGTTTGATTTTATTGTCTATTATTATCTGCATTGTTGATGGAAAAATGGCAGATTTAGTTTAATTAGCAGGTTTTGTCACAAACATCGTGAAATTTTAAGCTTTTAAATCGTGAATGATGAAGTCTTAGATAGGGCTTATTATAAATTGTGAAGAAGAAGGTCATACTAATGATGGTCTTATGGTCTGCTGTTTCTTGAGCATTCTCTTCTTTAAAGAAGTGTTTGCTGTATGACCACATTTATCTTGATACATGCCCTGTCATGTTATTTATAGAGCACAGTTAGCAAATATAGTACAGTATTACATCAGTATAGTATGGATGACTACATTTATTAATCTTCTTTCTCTCTGGGAATGAATTAAAGCTTTCATGTTACGAGTTTTTGCAGTTGTTGGATAGTAGATTAAAAAACAATGTATTTAGTCAAACTTGTTTAGCATTAAATTCTAGCAGTTGTTATTTTCATTAGTAAGTAAATACTATTTGAAGTTTACTTTTAGGACATACGAGTTTAATACAATTTGATTTTGTTGTCAGACTTAAAATTGACTTGTACTTTTTATTTTCTAATAACTTGAGATTTCTTGATAATCTATAAAGACCGTGAGATTATTATTGTTAGACTTGTTTTCTTGCCTTCGGAATATTTGAGAGGCAACTTTTTTATTATGGTATCTTGATTTTAAGTGATGATATATCAATAGCTGTAGAAATTGGATGTTATAGGCTATCTTTCTCTTCATCCCTCCTTACCTCTTTTAAGATTTTAACATCTAGTAGGGTTGTCTTGAAAATATGCATATCATGTTATAAAATGTTTTCACAGATAGTACTTATCTATTCAGATTTTAGTATTATAAAATACTGTATATTTTGAACTGAATTTTGGTGATATTGTTCATATGTTAGAATCATACTCCCTGTGAGTTCTTTTATCAGCGTTCATTCTTGCACATATTTATTGTTATATTTATGTTGATAAAAAGTATTTAATAGTAAATATTGTGTTATCTAACTCACTTATTTTAAAATGAAATCAATTTATGTTAACTTCTTACATATAATTGTAAGAAAATTCAAAAAATACTTAAGCCTTTGCTTTTCAGAGAATTTCTGTGTGTACCAAGGTGTATTACTACTGGTTATTAACTGTGAAATGCCAGCAAGGAAAGAGGAGAAGTTACTGGTGAAATTCAACTTTGAATAAGGGACAGTTTCTATAAAAATTTAAAAATCGGCATATATAGTTTTAAAATAGGTGTTTGAAATGAATTAAAAGCTATGTTTAGTATAGAAGAGGCTTAATTCAATTATGAAACAATTTGGATCATGAATTATTGTTTATGAAGACTGTCTTCCCATTAATGTTAGTTAGTGTTCATTATAAAGTAGAATTTTTTTTAAGCCTAGCAATTTTGTGTTTATGGAAGCACTGCTGAAGAGTCGGGTGTGGGTGAGAGTTAGAAAATGAAAAGGTGTATCAGATTTGGAGATATGTGGTTGTATTTGAGGCTCCCAGCTTCAGAAAGGATTTTTTTTTTTTCTGAAGACTTAAGTTGGAGGTCATCGATTTGAAATCAGTGGTTATTTCTTGTATTGAGATAATCTGTACCAGTTCATTTGATCCTCACTTTATCCTCCTCCCACTCATCAATGCTAATTTATAATGTATTAGTATAGAACTAGGCTTACAGTTCTTTACATCCATATTACCATTAGTGGTAGTGTATCTTATGGAAATATACTCAGTTCCAACTAGGTATGACAGAAATCCAACTGTCCCCTATTCAGTTAAAGGGATTTATCTCCTGCCCTGTATTCTACCCTCTTACTTGCCCTTGGTTCCATTCTGTTATTAATAACTGGCAACAGATAAATGAGTTACTGCTAGAATAAGTACTGTTAGGGTGTCATGGGAGGTTGGGGGAGATGGGTTTTTGGTCGGTGTTTTGTGAGCCTCAGGGAACTGATTGGACTTACCATTTGTTAAGGAATTTTTATCTCTTTGAAGAGTACTGGGCTACTTCTGTGTTCCTTAAAGGAGGAGTAAAACTCTCCCTCTTTTTTGTAAGGAGTAAAACTCTTAATCACAGAGTTGTCATTACTTCTCTATTGTTTTTTTTTTTAATTTTCAGCTTTGAGACTTACCTAGCACCTCCTCCTGTTTTTGTACTTCCCTTTAGAAATCTTTCACTCACATTAAAGCTTTAAGCTTCTATATGTACAAAGAGTTAAGAGAGGCCAGGGCTCTTCAGGAATAAATTTAGAATATTTGGGAGTGTGTGTGGTGGAGCTAAAGAGTGACAGGAGATGTGTTTAATTAAGGGGCCATTCAATGAGGAGTTTTATAACTAATGCTAGTTTTATCTTTCTATGTTGGGCAGCCAGTCAGAATGATTAACACATTTTTTTCCCCAAAATGTTTAATTTTACAGTAGCTTAAGAATTTTGAGAAAGTTGCAAAAATACTACGCATTATTTCTCTGTGCCATTCGCCCAGACTCTCAAGATGTTAACGTTTCATCCCATTAGCCTTTTCTTGTCCTCCCTTCTTCTCCCTTGCCTTTTCTTTTTCTCTCACTTTCTGTGTGTAGTCTTTATTCCCCTGAACTTTAGACAGTAAATTATGAATATAATGCTGTTAGCCTAAGTACTTTAGTGTATAGTTTTAATAAAAAGAGAAACTTCCTACATGATTGCAGTATAAAGTCAGTAAATTAACATTATTGCAGAACTATTGGATCTTCATATCCTGGTTGGATGTCCTCCATGCTAAAGGAAGGAAACTTGTTTTCAGGTTCAGAATCCCGTCCAGGATTACACATTGCATTCAGTTGTTCTAGTGTCTTATTTTTTTTCCCCAGACTGTAACACTTCCTCTTTCTTTGTCTTTCATGATCCTAACGCCTGACGTTGTTTCAGGTTCTCCCAGATCCCAACAATGGGTTTTACAGCCACACCGTTGGCTTCGCTCTCATACAGGCATTTTCTGAAATAGCCTACATTTTATGTTTGTTTGGAAGCTAGTCCTTACTTAAGTATTGATTGCTGTTTGGAAAGACTGACGTTTTTAAAACCAGAAAGTATTAGGTCCTTTTTGTCAGTGGTCTTCACAATTTAGTTTTTCTTTATACTGCTTTTTACTATAAATTGTAAAAAGACTACACTTTTAACATATTACCTAGAAAAATCTCTTTACTTAAATCATGCATTAAGTACATTTTCTCTTTTTTATGTTACCAAGGGCACCAACTTTACTTACTCACTTACTTACTTAAGGGCACCAATGTTGCTAAACTTTGTTACTGCATAACTAGAACCCCCTTTCCTCTATTTTTCAGTTACATTAATGTTTTTTCTCCTTTAGCTCTCCTTAGCAGCCCCCTGAAAGACTGAGAATAGTCTCTCCCATGCTCATTAGGCTTTCACTCATCATTTCCTCAAAGTCTTTCCAGATCTTGCCCACTAATTCCTTGAAACTCCAACATTTTTAGTTGTTGTTGTTGTTGTTATGGTAGCATCCTGTGCATATAACAAAAATGTGTATCAGTTACCAGTTGCAGCATAACAAATTACCCCAAAATTTAGTGACTTAAAATTATAATAAATATTTATTATCTCATAGTTTGAGTTAGAAATTTAGATAGAGTTTGCTAGATATGCCTTGCTCAGGGTCTCATCAGATTGCAGTCAAGATGTAGGCAGGAATATAGTCATTTGAAGGCTTGACTAAGGCTGATAGGTATGCTTCCAAGATGGCTTAATAACATGACCAGTAAGTTGGTGCTGGCTGAGGAAGAACCCCAGTTTCTTGCTGCATGACCTCTCTGTGGGACTGTTTGAGTGTCCTTATAATTACCTAGCTTTTCGTCAAATGAGTTAACTTTTCCCAGAATAAGAGAGAGCATAGTAAAAACTACAGTATT